AACATTCAGGATGAACAGAAGGAAGTGGTTTACTGACCTATGGGACGATAAAGGAAATTTAACAAACGGAAATAAACTTAGGACTTATCGCATGTTTAAGAAAGACCTGTACCCAGAAGCTTATATAACCAATACAATGTCTACACACCACAAGTCCTTCATACGGCTGAGAGCCTGCAGTCTGCCTGTCTGCAGATATTCTAAGCCGCCTATTCCACTTCATGACAGAATCTGTCCTCTCTGCCCCCTAGAAATCGAGGATGAAGCCCATTTCACCATCACCTTCCCACTGTACTCAGATATAACGTACGATGTCTTCAAGTATGCCCTGAATGTAGACGATGAATTTACGCATAAAAACCCAACAGGAAAATATGTGTTTTTAATGCAAAATCCTAATTGTCAGCTCTTACTTGCTTCTAAGATTCATCTCATAGTCAGAAGAAGGAATACTCTTTTATGATTAATGTAGTTAATGTAGTTAACGTAATTTCTGTAATGTTTGTATGTATGTATGTTTGTATGTATGTATGTATGTATGTATGTATGTGTGTGTGTGTGTGTGTGTGTGTGTGTGTGTGTGTGTGTGTGTGTGTGTGTGTGTGTGTGTGTGTGTGTGTGTGTGTGGTCTATGTGTCTGTGTGTCCATTTGTATGTTGTGTGTGTATGCGTGTATGTATGTGTGTGTATGCGTGTATGTATGTGTGTGTATGCGTGTATGTATGTGTGTGTATGCGTTCGACTGAATGCATGTTTGTGCGAGAATCTATGTTGTTGATAGATCTGTATGATTGTTCTCATACAGGTTTTAGTATAATACATGTCTTAATTATATATTGAATGTAGGGACTGTTTGTCATTTGTACTTTCTTAACTTATTATTGTTCTGTGATATTTTAGATTATAGTGTCTCATAGGTCATATGGCCGGTGCTTTTTATAATTCTATGAATGTACATTTTGTATTTTATCATATAATATGCACGTGACACTTAAATAAATATTTTTTCTCTCTCCTCTCTCTCTAATTCGACATGAAACGGATTATATCACACTCTAAGTAAAATGTCATTTAACCCGAAATTAGTTAATTAGTCTAAACTACCGGACAACACCAAAATCAAAGGCATATGTGAGATTTATGATGATTAATTTATAAACACGAATAATTTTCCATGAATTAGAATGAAAATGCATTGTAATGCCGATATTGCATTCTCCGCAATATACAAAGACAGAGTCAAGGGGTCCAAATTAAAAATCACATAAATCAGAGTTCATTGAAAAAGTGCATGAAGAGTGCATGACACAGTAGTCAGGTAACTCGTCATCAATAGCGAGTGTGACCACCCTGGGCATCCATGCACGCCGACACACGCTTCCTCATTGACGTCGTCAGTCGGAGGATAACGTCAACAGGAATCCTGTTCCATAAGTTCAATAGAGTCCTGTTGGTTCGCCGGAGGCGGTACATGCTGTCTCAGCTGACGATCAAGATGATCCCAGAGATGTTCAATGGGGTTCATGTCATGAGAACAAGGTGGACAGGGCAGTATGTTGACGTTAACGTTGTTCGGGTAGTCTTGAACAATTCGGGCGGTGTGAGGCCTTGCGTTGTCTTGTTGCAAAACTGATCCTCTTGGCCAATGTTGAATAAAGGGCACCACAACAGGTCTCAACACTTCATCCCTGTATCGCTTAGCATTCAGGTTTCCTCGGATGATAACTAGCCGTGTTGTAATCTGGCCACAAATACCACCCCATACCATGACGCCACCACCTCCAAATGGGTGAACTTCTCTAATGCAGTTTGGCGCCAGTCGCTCTCCCCTTCGTCGAAAAACTCGAACTCTGCAATCGTTCCTGAACAGACAGAACCGACCTCCATCTGCAAAGAGCACTCTCTCCCAGTCACGTCGCTGCCATCGACGTACAGTTCGTGCCCATTGCAGTCTGCGTTGACTGTGTAGACGGGTCAAGGCCATTCCCCGGAAGGGTCGGTAGGCTCGTATACCAGCCGTACGAAGTCGTCGAAGGACTGTTCGTATGCTGATGGCATGCCCTACTGCTCAATATTTACACTATGTGAAGTGTGGCCATGGGCGAAGAGTGGCCCATGGATAGGCCCATGGTCGAGAATATTTTTAAAACTCATGTTTTTGTTTCGCAAATACATAAATGTATTTCTGTCAAGTATCATGACACACATTTAACTCATTTCCAACGATTTTATAGCGATATTGAAATATTTCTCCCATAGGCGAGAAAAAGGTTTGGCCCATGGGCGTTAATATTTTCCTTTGCTCAAAACTCGTGGTTTTGTTTCGCAAATACATAAAGGTGTTCTAAGAAGTTTCATGACATATTATTTAACTCATTTCAACTTAATCCAACTCTTTTACGGCGTTATTGAAATATTTCACCCTGGGCGAGAAAGTTTGACACATTGGCGAGAATATTTTCCTTTGCTCAACAGTTTTAGTTTCGCAAATATAGAAAGGTGTGTCTACAAGCATGACACATGATTCAACTCATTTTTAATTAATTCAACTAATTTGTGGCGTTATTAAAATATTTCGTCAGTCCCTTTAAAGCATTAACTATATTGTATCATGTGAAATATACTTCATATTATATCATTACATTACTATTTAAAAAGGGCCTTTGGTTGGATTTTTCCTTTACAGAAGTTTTACAAATTTCACCTTTTGTACAGAGGAGAAAACGGTTATCATTTGGGTGAAGTACAGGTTATATATTTTGTCTCAAAAGCCTCTCGCAGAGAGACAAGTTCTTAAATCGTAAGTACCTCCCTCCAGTCAACAGTTTGTTGTAATATTTACTGGGGTTCCTTCCCTGATAGCAATGTACAAAGCAACAGACGAAACACACCCCAGGTTTCTGACAACATAGTGTGTATGTTTTAGGTCAGCGTTCAGTACATTGTCTTTGATTACCATGGCAACACAGTGTGTATGCTTTAGAAGGTCAGTACATTGTATGTGAGTACCATGGCAACACAGTGTGTTTGCTCAGTGTGTGTGTGTGTGTGTGTGTGTGTGTGTGTGTGTGTGTGTGTGTGTGTGTGTGTGTGTCTGTCTGTCTGTCTGTCTATGCGAGCGCGCGCGTATGTGTTTGTATGTTTCAAAATGGCACTCTGTATACGTCATGTTAAGAAGGTTGTTTGGTGCCGACACTGAGATAAGATAATTTCTAAACTTGGACAAACTTATCGCAAGGTCTTGAACCAAACAGCTCGTTCTAGCTCGACAGCTTGTAGCAGTGGCCCGAATCGCACTGACCATGCAGGTTTCCATCTGGTCAACAAACAGCATAACCTTTTCAAAAACATACCTACCATTTTCCGAAAAACAAAATTATGGACAGACATCGATTTCATCTTGAACGTGTTTCCCCGTCGGATTGCATAACAAAATCTCTACCAGTCGATGTTGCATCCATCAAAGCAGCGTCGTGCTCCTTTGTCTTTGGACCGCCTCCGTGGTCTAGTGGTAGAGCGTCCGCCCCCGTAGAACGGAAGGTTCGGGTCTCGATCCCCTGCCACGTCATACCAAAAGATGTTGAAAGATGGTACTTGTTGTTACCGTGTCTGACGCTTGGCATTAAGGGGCTAAAAACAAAGGTTGGTCGGCTCGGAGACATTATACTGTGTCTGAGTGGGGTATTCATGTCAAACTGCGTTATGTTGTCTCAGTGGGCTAGCACGTCGCTATAAAAATGCAATAATCTTGGACGCGACGTTAAACAACATTTCACCTCCCCTCCCCCATTATCTTTGTAAGGGTATTGACGTTCTGCTTCGTCGGATATAGCATCGTTAATTGTTAGATTAAGTACGGATAAGATTCATGGATTAACAACCTGTTTATTACAATTAAGAGCAACGTTTCGGTGTAGGTTCTAACACCGTTATCACGCAAGCGATATACTTACTTACTTACTTACTTTGGAGATTTAACGTGCGCTTTCCGACTGATGCGTATTTCACACACGGGCCCGGCCAGGCGATTTAATGTGTTTCCAAAAGGGGCGAAAGTGGTCTGTGCAACACAAGAGAATTTGGGAATTTTGAGATTTGGAATAGATGCCGATGGGGTTGGGGAGGAGAACTAAGGGAGCTGGGTATGGTGGATGTTTGTTTGTTTGTTTATGTGATTTTGATTTGGTAGGTTATTGTGTTTTTAGATGCGTTTTATTAGTTCCGTTTTGATTAAGAATACGCCTAAGGCCTTGAAGTTTTCTAGATTATTTTGTGGGTTCAGTATTGCTTCTAGAGTGAGAGCCTTGTTTAGATTGAGGGTGGTTTGTAATGCGGTTCGATGTGTTAGGTAGTGTGTGCAGTGGATGAGTGCGTGTTCTGGGGTTTCTAGTTGTTTGCAGTGTGGGCAGTTACCTGTAGTGGTTTTTTTTGGGTTTTTTAGGTGGTTATTTGGGTTGGTGTGTCCTGTTTGGAGTTTAGTGATTACTCTGTCGGTTTTTTTTTTGATGGATGGAGAATTTTTGGTTTGGTCAGTGGTTTGCTGAGCACTTTTTTTATTTGGCCATTTGAGTTCAGATATAGGTTATGCCATTTTTTGTGTATTTTTGCTTGTTTACACTTTTAATTTCTGATTTTGAGATGGGTAAGTTTAAGCTTATTTCTGGGATTTTGAGGGATAGTTTAGCTGCTTTATCGATATACAGAGTATGGTTAACAAGTATAAATACAGGTAGGAGGCAATGTTTATACAGTAGAGTAGATATTAGATGTAGTTTTTCTGCATTGGAGAAGCCTATTTTTTACACAAAAGTTGTAGTTAAGACATTTCCAGCGAAGGCAGTAACATAAACAAAAGGGTGAAGCCAGTAATATCAACAACAGGATTATCGTTACTTCGCTCGTAATGTCTTAACTACCCCTTTTGGTTTGAGTAGATATGTATAAACATGTGATTATTGTAAATAGATATGCGACAAATATTATACAGGTATGAGGCAGACTCTTTTTTAGTGTTTTATTCAAGGAGAACGTGCTACAGGACTCGATTATTTTCCAACAGGGGTGTTGTTTTGAGTCCACAGAACCTGGAGAGATAGAAGTGCATTAACAACAACACAGGGCAGGATACAGAAACAGTGTTCGTTCTACAACACGAGACTTGAAAATGGTAAAATCATCAGGAATGAGTTTTTCAGAAATCTTCAGTTCATGATAACAAGACTTTTGCAAGTTTGGGTTTTAAATGTGTCAATGTAATTTGGTTAAATTTGGGTCTTAGAATTATCCTTCTTGTTAACTTACGGCACCAATTGATTTGTGGAATTTTAACTTAAAATGTTAACTTTGTTGGGTTTAGTTCAAAATTTAATACTTTGACTCTGTTTGTACATTGACTCACTGGCTCACTGCGTGCAGTGTGGTGAGTTGTGTACAATTATCTCAGATGGGTCAAACATTTAATGTATCAGTGATGATTAGTAAGAGCTAGTACAGATGTAAAGTAATCTGAAGTTCCTTTTATGCACAAACAGGTGCACGGTGGATGACGAAGGTAAATCTTACCGTAGGATACTTAGCCTGAAACTCCCCCTGAGTCACTTTGCCATCGTCTGAAATGTTTTGACAGAATGGTATTATCAAGGGGTTCTATCAATTTCTTCCACTTGATGTCATTCAGTGTTATTATCTGAATGATCATTATTTCTCACGATACGATTGGTAATTGGAATCACAGATTCACCCAGTGTCTGACACTGAGCTTGTCGTCAGCATGGTTTCGGTCGTGGTATATGGCAAGGATCTGCATCACATCAGGCTTTCGCCCTTATAAAGCTGACTCTCACTCACTCATTCGCCTACTCATTCACTCACTCACTCTCGCAACCACCCACACACGCACACACCCACTCATTCACTCAATCACCCAACCACCCACTCACTCACTCACTCATATTTGCTCCCTCTCACTCACTCACTTATTTTTGCTCGCACTCACTCACTCGATCATCCACTCACTGTGCTCAAAATGAACTGTTGGTTTTTTATTCAGTATTTGTTATGCTTTTTCATTCTTAAGTTAAATCAAAACAGACTTGTCCGGTCGACTTTATTCTTTCACATGAATGATTGCATTTTCTTCATTCAACACCAAAAAGACGTGTGGGTATCATGAGAGTTTCAAAGTTTGCTCGAAGTACAGATTCATTGCAGTTGTCGTTTGTTCAGAGAGAAAATAATAAGGTATAATACAATTATATAATTAATGATAATCGACACTTTTAGGTACATTAAATTAGCAGTTTTATTTACTACCATTCATTTATATGTGAGTGACACCATGCACCGGGGTAATAACGCATATCGGACGTTTATAGAAGTTGGAATTTTAACTTTCTTAAAGTGGGTCTATACTCCAACCGTATGGCAGCCCAAACAAGTTTTATAAAGTTATTGTATGCGAACTGTATGTTATGTACATGCCAATCTTACAGTTAGTTAATGTGCGTTTTCTTGAAATGGCCCATAGCATAAGAACGAAAACGTCCAAAATATCAAATTTCAGCTCTTGTCCTTATAATAAAGTGTTTGATGGGTGGTTTTAACCACTAATAATGCATATCTCAATATAAAGACATGAAACTTCAAACACACAAAAAAATTAAAATATATATCATAACGCGTAAGTGTGTCGGAGAGTCGAATACTCACTGTCAACGTCCAACTGGTTGAAAATTAGCTTCACATCGTCCGAGGTTATAGTTCCATCACTGTTGGCATCGAATTTGGTGAACTCCTTTTCTGCCACAATATTGTCTCCATGGTATTGTGTCAGGAAATTGCTCTTCGAGATTTTGCCATCACCTTTAAATAGAATCATTACATCTCAAATAGTAAATAGAAGTACTTTACGGCAATTGCTTATAATTATCAGTTTCCATGGAGATTTCCAACCAAAGATAAACATTTACGAAGCTTATCCAAAGGCATTAAGTTCAAGGATAAGTTCGATCGAATTCGGTTCTCGCTATTTTCTATATTTCGCTCCGTCTTGTAAGCAAACCGGTAGCTGAGCACTATTGTGTAAAATACTTAAATACATTTCCCCTACCGTCGATATCTACAGTATTAAAGTAGGCTTCCAGTTCTTCCAGCACCAATGTACTGTCCTTGTTGGCGTCAAGATAGTGGAAAACGCTTTTAGCTCTGTCAGCTACACTTTGGCTATACGCCACGCTGCAAGAAATATTGATAACAAACATCAACTGACTGTAAATTTTTATGTATTACGATATACACAATGTACCATGGATAACAAACGTCAAACGTAAATGTTTATGTATAACGATATACACAATGTATCATGGATAACAAACGTCAAACGTAAATTTTTATGTATTACGATATACACAATGCAATACGGAAGGTAATATACACGTACATGTGCCTACGGAGGGTCATATACATGTATCTACGGAGGGTAAAATACATGTACCCCCACATGTTCAACGTTATAGGGCAGAATAAACACCTAGAAAACATCTTACCCACCAGCCCTTCTGTATTTTCATATATCCCGAATTCCAATGTACGTTTTGTAAATATCTACATGTGACATTAACCCCATTTGGATACATCTGTATGATACCAACGATATCTACAAGGACACTAAATGTTACCCAGATGTACTGCCCCACACGTGATACAAACAAGCAGCGAAGGACATTGATGATAGTCACACAACTCTTGCTATGGAACCAGTTACAAGTCATGTCACAAGATCACGTGTTTCTGAATTTCAATATGAGTATGTCGCTTTGTGTACAAAAACAAATGTCTGAAATGAAAACATGATACGATTGTTTTCCAATGGCTACGCTGCATAAAAAATGTATAGTTAGAGTGTTCAACGTTTTCCAAACACCCCTTCATGTTGGTTGTGTATGTATATATATGTTACTGTAAATTACACTTATCACGAACTGACGGATATAACGAACTTATTTTTTAGTCCCGGCCATTTGTTTTATATATGATGTATGTATGATTATAATTAGGAGATAAACCTAATGTATTTTGAAATTTGATGCAGTCCCACTGTAGAGTAGATACCTCTTTAGTTTAATTTTGAACCGAGCGCTTTAGCATATAGTTTTTCAACAGAAGTTCAACAAAAGATACTCAAAACTTAGTCCAAAGACAGATGTTTTAATTTCTACCAACCTGTTGTATACTGTTTGGACTGAGTGTCAATTCTTGACATTTTACGGGAGAAGTCATTTCTTGGAAATCGAACAAGCCATCATTTCTATTGTAGGGGTGACAGGTTGTAGACAAAGGTTTTAAAATGCTAAACGAATATATTGTACAACAAACTTTTTGAATTGACATTCCATTGTACATGTGTAAGTGTTATTAGTTAGTTAGCAATTACCTCCAGTAAACAATAATAACATCAAAATAAATGAATCTCCATTCCGAACTTGGATGAGCAAGACCTACTCATGGTTACTCACACCTCGCAGCTGTCAATGGCTTACAATCTTGTGTTTAATTACATTCTCTGTAACTAGTTAAATGAAGCAAGATGACAACCCCGATCTATGATGTGGTTCAACATTAACCTGTAGATTTACTGGGAATGATCGAGCCTGCTGGTACAATATGATTACCAATGGAACTGAGTATGACTGAACAGCCACTTTTTAGAATTAGACTGCAGACGAGTCGGACATTTTGACACGAGGTAGGGCCTATCTGCATGGTATGACCTGTCAATTTCAAGATTTCAGGGATTTAAAGTGTGAATGCAATGAGACCTTTGTGACCCAGAAATAGTGGTTCGTGTATGATTTTCTTAATTGTGCGTGTTCTGAAATGAATTCCATGAAGTTTGATAAGCTGTGACGTCAGTGAAGTCGGGACATTGTTTTCGTGGCGGGGTGTTTTCTGATGGATTTTCAATAACCCTCCTGTCGTTGTATTCATACGCACGGGGTTTTTTTATGAAAAGGCTTAATATATTTGAAATGGGTTTCCGTAGCAAAAAGGAAAGCTATTGACTTGAGTTCCTAAAAATAACAGGAGAACCCCAGCACAAGGGTATCCCTCGATTTTCTACAAATCAGGTGTCTCCTTTCGCGGAGACCCCAGTGCGTGATGATACTAACAACGTAAACATGGCGTCCGCCTCCGAAAATAAACCTAACCGTATCGCTGATTTATCTGTCGAAGAACATGGAATTATACATGTATTGGACAATATAAATGCGAAAAATACCAAACGATCTACTTCGACAGCGGTGAAGGTATTTCGGGAGTATTACGCTCGGAAACGAAACTGAGTTGATTTTGATTTTTTTTCAATCGCAGAATTGGACAGAACGCTTGAAGCGAGAACCGAGAAGGACGATCATTGCAAGAAAGTCACTCTTATGGTCTATCGACATGGTATTCAACGACACCTTCAACAGTCAAGACAAGAGGTAGACATTATCTGAGGAAGTGGATTCAAGGAATCATCAAAATCTTTCAAAGCAATAGGAAACGAACTGAAGCGAATCGGTTGTTCGAGATCAAGCACTACACTCCTATATAGCCGTTGCCGACATGTCGAAACTCTAGGACTACGTATGCAGCTCTGACAGTCCAGTACTTCTACAACAAAAGTTAGGTCTATAGGATTTCGATATTATTATGATAATGTCAAAAAAAATTTTCTTGTTCTTGACTTTTTTTAGGGTTTCCTATTGGTTGTCTCCTGTCAATAAAATATGTTCATATGAATATAATAAACAGATTTTAATCTCAGTATTTCTTATCTCATGCAGGTATTTCTTGATATCATGCTGTTAGACCATATCGTTGTAAGACATACTCTAATTGTTATTTGAACCCTATATAATTGTATATTATGATATAATGGAGACTTTTTCCCTGTTTTTTTTGGCCGAGAAGTGATCACATGACAGTCCATAGAAATGCATATTGACTCGATCCTGGGTCTGATAATTTACGATAGTGACTTGAGTTACTAAAAAATAGTAGGAAAACCCCAGGACCAGGGTATCCCGACGTCCTCGGTAAATATGTTTTTTCTCTGGTCCATAAAATCAGATATTAACCTCCTGAAAAGTCTATAATTGTATAATATACAAGTCATCATCATAGTTAATATGTATTGAAAAATCGAAATGCACAAATTTGGTTTGTTTCACATAACAATATCAAATGGAATGTCTCCTTCAGCTACAAATGGTGTCAAGCTGTTTAACAAGGTCACAGATGGGCCAATAACTTGAAGAAATGCATTATAACTGGCATGCCAGTCTTCCAATGATACAGAGATATATGCATTGTGTTTAAATTAACAGTGTCAACTCGTTCCAAATAAGCGTTGTAATACACGCAATGAAAGCAAATCTCACCTATGTTGCAGAGAACGGGAAGGGTGAGCTGAATGCTCTGGCTGTATATATACGAGTTTCGTACAGAGATAAGAGAACGTACATGTGGTAGTGTAGAAACTCGGATCACGGTGCTGATAAACTTTGCCCATCTATCTGCAGTGAATCTCATTGCACTCGGTGCACATTTTACTAATGACATTTCGTCTACGGTGCTCTTTAACTGATACAGTGTGGTTCCCCTACAACGTAGGGTACTCCTTGTCTCGAATGCGGACCAGTCCATTGACACAAGTACAAGTATTTCTTCGAATGGTGTCCACATTTTTATGAAATATGGAGAATTTGAAACTTCTCCGATTATCAATATTCTGAAAAAGATCAGTTAAGTTTTGGAGAGAATCTTGGGACCTATCACAACAAATTCAGTTTTCACCTGGTTAAGTTTCAGTAGTTTGATGCCATTCCCTGCTTAATGCCAAGACAACAACTTCCAATCTGGCAACACAATCTTCAGCATCGCCATGTGAGAAACCAACATCTAGCTGGGTATCATCAGCTTCTTTTTTAAATTATTTATGTTCATAGTTTGTTTTGTTTTTTGTTTTGTTTTCAGCATCTTTATTATATCAGGATTCCACGTTTTCACAACCCTGTACAATTCCACGTGGACATGCGTATCCGGGGATATTGTTTCCATGCCAAAAGTATTTAAAATTATAGTATTTTTTTAATTGACATCATGCCAGCACAGTCTTTAGTTTGGATGCAATGGGTGACCTGATATACTAATATAGTAATTTGTACACTAAAGCGTAATAACATTTCGGAATGTATTAAAATGACAGTCGTTTCGATATATTTTACATATGTTTGCAATACCTTTAGCCAATAACAACAAATAACTCAGAATTATCATTTTGTCTTTCAAAATATTTCAAAGAAACATCATTCTTGACATACCCAGTAGAACATATATTTGAGAGAGTATGTTCACAACAGTTATTGTGATTATGATGTATCAAAATTGAAGGTTCAACTTCCACTTCAAATATATGGAAGTCTTCTATCGTGGAAGACCATATTGATGTATACGTTATGTATTGATGTTATTTCAAATAGCAAAACGTATTGGTAAATAGAAAACGTATCCGTCATGAAGGATGGGAACATGTAGGTAGTATATATCCATGATATTGTGTAGATGATGGTATAGATTCATAGTATCAATAAATAAATAGATCTGCTTTTTCGGATGTAGATGACACAATATCAAGTCTCTATACAAAATAACAGAAACCACAACCAAATATATACAGTTATATCTCAATACATATTTGGATAGTGGACGATTGAGAGAGGTTTTCGGATTTTTTTCGGATCGCTCAATATACAGGATCAAGCCAGTGGACCGACCACGTTACGTTCTCAAGTCTATACAATTTTCTTTTAACGTCTATTTGTCTGTACTGAATCCATTGAATTATTTTGAGAATTCACTTGTATGTCTAAAAAATGTATTTTACACTTTATATGCACTTTTAGGAATATTATAGAAATACCACGCTAGGGCATACCATAAATGGGCTTCACACAGTGTGTCCATATGGGGAATACAACCCGTGCCTTCGGCGTGACAAGCGTCTTCCACACCAGACACAAAGACCACATGGATTTCAAAGATCTTCAGGGCATCTTACTTAAGAACACTAGTTATCCATCTTCCAAAGTCAACGCATAGTAGCCCATATCTTAGTTTTGTTTCTAGGGTTTGTCAGCACCATACGGGTTATTTTTTGTGTTGGAGTGTATATGTATAAACATGTGTTTATTGTAAAGACGATAGATATTATACAGGAACGAGGCAGACTCTTTTTAAGTGTTTTATTCAAGGAAAACGCTGCAGGGCTCGACTATTTTCCAACAGGGGTACCGGCGTTGACGTGAATCATCAGAACCTGGAGAGATAGAAGGGCATTCACCACAACACAGGGAAGAATACAGAGAGGGTGTTCGTTCTACAACACGAGTCTTGAAAATGGTAAAATAGTCAGGAATGAGGTTTTCAGAAATCTTCAGTTCATAATAACAAGACCATTTGCAAGTTTGGGTTTTAAATGTGTCAATGTAATTTGGCTACATTTGGGTCTTAGCAATTATCCTTCTTGTTAACTTACGGCACCAATTGATTTGTGGAAGTTTAACTTAAAATGTTAACTTTGTTGGGTTTAGTTCAAAATTTAATTCTTTAACCCTGTTTGTACATTGACTCACTGGCTCACTGCGTGCAGTGTGGTGAGTTGTGTACAATTATCTCCGATTGGTCATACATTTAATGTATCAGTGATGATTAGTAAGAGCTAGTCCAGATGTAAAGTAATCTTACTTTCCTTTTATGCACAAACAGATGCATGTGAGTAACTGAATGACGGAGGTGAATCTTACCGTAGGATACTTAGCCTGAAACTCCACCTGTGTCACTTTGCCATCGCCTGAAATGTTTTGACAGTATGGTATTATAGATTCTATCCATTATTTCCACTTGGTGTTATCAGGTGTCATTATGTGAATGATCATTATTTCTCATGATACGATTGGTAATTGGAATCACAGAGTCACCCAGTGTCTGACACTGAGATTGTCATCAGCATGGTTTCGGTCGTGGTATGTGGCAAGGATCTGCGTCACTTCAAGCCTGACAACCCGACCCCGTTCGTCGTCTCTTGCGACAAGCATATTCGCCCCTTACGGCAAGCATGGGCTGCTGAGACCTATGCTAACCCGGATCTTGACGGGTCTAACCTACCAGTGAGACATTTTGGTATGGTAGACATTTATGAGGTGAAGAAAATGTCCAAAACGTCAAATTTCAGCTCTTTTCATTATAATAAAGTGTTTGATGTTTTGTTTTAACCAGTAGTAATGTATATATCAATGTAAACACATGAATCTTCCAACACATAAAAGTATGAAATATATTTCATAACACTTAATTGTGTAGGAGTGTCGAACACTCACTGTCAACGTCCAACTGGTTGAAAATTAGCTTCACATCATCCAAGGTTATAGTTCCATCACTGTTGGCATCGTATTTGGCGAACTCCTTTTCTGCAAAGACTTTGTTTCCCTGGAGAAGTGTCAGGAAATCGCTCTTTGAGATTTTGCCATCACCTTGAAATAGAATCATTATGATGATTCTCAAGATGTATACAGAATTTCTTTATTGCACTTACTTATAATCATCATTTTCCATGGAGCCTGTATTAGATTTACAACCAAAGGTAAATATTTACACACTTTATTCAAAGGCATTTAAGTTGAAGGATATATTCGCATCTGACTATTTTCTGCAGTCTATATTTCGCTACGTCTTGTAAGCAAACCGGAAACTGAGCACTAGTGTGGAAAACACTTAAATACATTTCTCCTACCGTCGATATCACCAGTATTAAAGTAGCCTTCCAGTTCGCCAAGCTCCAGTGTACCGTCCTTGTTGGCGTCAAGCGAGTGGAAAACGCCGTTAGCCAAGTCAGTTACACTTTGGCTATACGCCACGCTGCAAGAAATGTTACCTGCTGGTAAACTATGGATAACAAACACCAACTGTTTATGTGTTACGATATACTAAATGTACCATGGATAACAAACGTAAATGCTTATGCATTACGGTACACTAAATGTACCATGGATAACAAACATCAACTGTAAATGTTTATGTATTACGATATATACAATGTACCATGGATAACAAACATCAACTGTAAATGTTTATGTATAACGATTTACAAAATGCACCATTAAAATATTGTACCCACGGAGGTAACATACTGTACGTCCGGAGGGTGATATCCATGTACTAACGGAGGGTGATATACATGTACCTACGGAGGGTGATATACATGTACTAACGGAGGGTGATATACCTGTACCTACGGAGGATGGTATACATGCACTAACTGAGGGTGATATACCTGTACGTACGGAGGATGATATACCTGTTCCTACGGAGAGTGATATGCATGTACTAACGGAGGGTTATATGCATATACCTACGGAGGATGATATACCTGTACCTACGGCGGGTGATATACATGTACCTACGGAGGATGATATACCTGTTCCTACGGAGAGTGATGTACATGTACCTACGGAGGATGATATACCTGTACCTACGGAGGGTGATATACATGTACCTACGGAGGAGGATATACCAGTACCTACGGAGGGTGGTACACCTGTACTAACGGAAGGCCATATAGCTGTACCTACGGAGGATGACATACATGTATCTAGGAAGGATGATATACATGTACTAACGGAGGGTGATATGGCTGTACCTACGGAGGGTGATATACATGTACCTACGGAGGGTGATATACATGTACCTACGGAGGATGATATACCTGTACCTACGGAGGGTGATATAGATGTACCTACGGAGGAGGATATACCAGTACCTACGGAGGGTGGTACACCTGTACCTACGGAGGGTCATATAGCTGTACCTACGGAGGATGACATACATGTACCTACGAAGGATGATATACATGTACTAACGGAGGGTGATATGGCTGTACCTACGGAGGGTGATATACATGTACCTACGGAGGAGGATACACATGTACTAACGGAGGGTGATATGGCTGTACCTACGGAGGGTGATATACATGTACCTACGGAGGATGATATACATGTACTAATGGAGGGTGATATGGCTGTACCTACGGAGGGTGATATAGATGTACCTACGGAGGATGATATATATGTACTAACGGAGGGTGGTACACCTGTACCTACGGAGGGTCATATAGCTGTACCTACGGAGGGTGATATACATGTACCTACGGAGGATGATATACATGTACTAACGGAGGGTGATATGGCTGTACCTACGGAGGGTGATGCACCTGTACCTACGGAGGATGATATACATGTACTAACGGAGGGTGATATGGCTGTACCTACGGAGGGTGATGCACCTGTACCTACAGAGAGGGATATACATGTAGCTACGGAGGGTAAGGTACATTTACCTTCGGAGGGTTATACATCTGTACCAACGGAGGGTAATATACCTGTACCTACGGAGGGTAATATACCTGTACCTACGGAGGGTGATATACCTGTCCCATTGGAGGGTAATATGCATGTACCTACGGAGAGTAATATACCTGTACCTAAGGAGGGAAAGTTATCCCAAATATAACATTTGTTACTTATAAGTAATCTATCTGATATGCTGAAATTGAATAAATTGTCAAAGAACTTATTTAAATACGTGTATGGATGCTGTTTCTTTTATTCATAACTCACACACTCATTTACCTGAGAACAAGCGCAAACACTCACTTACCTGAGAACAAGCGCAAATACACACATGAAGAGGGAGCCCATCGTTGTTTAGCTGGGGAATACATATGTGGCATCAGAATTTAGAATGTCTCAGTTCAACTTTATAGGGCAGAATAAACACCTAGAAAACATCTAAGCCCCCAGCTTATATATATATATATATATATATATATATATATATATATATATATATATATATATATATATATATATATATATATAAAATAAAATAATAAAGTCCACGTTAGTCCATCATCTTCTTTATATCAGTTTCATACATAGTGCTTTCGCTGTCTCATGACAGCTCTTCAGTGTAACTGACATATACATATAATGACGTCATACTTATGATGACGTCATAAATTACAACTGTGACGTCACAATGTATTTACACACTCCAGCGACGACACCAAGTAATTTAACAGCAGATTAGAGACCCTAATGTTCGATGCTTAGGTGTCAGCAAACACATTGATGATTGCGGAAACGGGAAATTTACTATTTTTCCGTTTTATAAATTGTATACAAGTAACAAGCAGCTGAGACTGGAAAAAGAACAAATGTTTATCCAATTGATGAAACCAAAGTTGAACTCTAGAATGTATTAATAGATTTGTCATTTCAATCGTAAATGTTGCACTGTTACTTTACAAATACTGTATATTTAATTCAAATGTCTCCCTACAATTGTTAAATTACTTGGTGTCGTCGCTGGAGTGTGTAAATACATTGTGACGTCACAGTTGTAATTTATGACGTCATCATAAGTATGACGTCATTATATGTATATGTCAGTTACACTGAAGAGCTGTCATGAGACAGCGAAAGTACTATGTATGAAACTGATATAAAGAAGATGATGGACTGACGTGGACTTTATTATTTTATTATATATTACATGTACACCGAGTGAACATTTACCTCATTGTACCTCATTTAATATATATATGTTCTGTGTTTCAATACTTTATTTACTGCCATGTCGTATGTATATTTATATTGGCCCAGGCCCACACATATTACCGTATCTGTCAATATTGGTGATTATTATGTAATGGAGAATTTACTCCTCATTGTCCGAGAAGTGATCACATGATATAGAAATGCATATTGACTCCACCCTAGGTCTGATATTTTACGATATTGACTTGGGTTACTAAAAATAACAGGAACATCCCAGGACTATGGTATCCCTTCGTTCTCGGTCAATATTGTTAAACAGCTTGCCAATATTGTTTCTCTCGGGTCCATGCAAACATATATTAACCTCCTGAAAAGTCTATAATTGTAAAGTATACATCATCATAGTTACTATGTATTGAAAAATTGAAATGCACAAATTTGGTTTTTGGCAGATAACATTATCAAATGGAATATCTTCTTTAGCTAAAAATGGTGTCAAGTTGTTTAACAAGGTCACATATGGGTCAATAACTTGAAGAAATGCATTACTAACTGGCATACCAATGATACGGAGATATATGCATTGTGTTTAAATTAACAGTATAATTAACTCGTTCCAACCAATATAATTATAAGCATTGTTATACAAGCAATGAAAGCACATCTCACCTATGTTGCGGAGAACGGAAAGGGTTAGCTGTAAGCCTTGGTTGTATATATACGAGTTTCGTACAGAGATAAGAAAACGTACACGTGGTCGTGTAAAAACTCGGATCGCGGTGCTGATATACTTTGTTCATTCGTCTGCAGTGATTTCATTTCTCATTGCACCAGGTGCGCGTTTTACTAATAGCATTTTGCCTACGGTGCACTTTAACTGATACAGTGCGGTTTCCCTACGACGTGGGGCACTCCTTGTCTCCTTGTCACGTGAGAAGGAGACCCCAGGGATATTCCGAATTCTTTTTTATGCTTTTTGTGAATGTTCCTGTATACTTTAAACTGAACACGATTGGTTAATTGGTTCCTTTAAGAGATGAAGGTTTCTTTTCGTGAACACTTGGTGTCATCATTGATTTTTAGTGATCCATTCATATATTTTCCACCGCTGTTTTGGAACTTGTTTCGGCGGAAAATCGAGACTGATTATTTTCTGACGTTTTATGGATACTGGATGGTTGAAAAACAGTCATTCTCCTTCATGCTTTGCCCGGAGAGCAGGTGTTCAGCTTTTTGTTTACCTGGCCGCGCCATACAAAAGACGTTAAAAGATGGTACATGTTGTTACTCTGCCTGGTGCTTGACATAAAGGGGATAAAACAAGGACTGGTCAGCTTGGTGTCAGTATACTGTGTCTGGGTAGGATATGTATGCGGAATGGTATCTCAGGAGGCTGGCACTATAAAACCGGCATTAGTCCAGCCTTTTGTTCAGGTTGGACCCTACCCTTAGAGGTTGACAATAAGCCGGCTCGAAGTAAATATTTCTCCGGATAATCCAACCTTGATTCTTTATAATTGCCCCTCGGAGCCCATTGGAACCATTTTCAATTAAGATCCGCTTATAAAGTGAGCTTTAACTGCTTCAAATCAGTATTACAGCCGTGGTTCTATAACAGAATATTCAACATCGACAATTAAAAATATGTGTCAACGTTACGTATGTCGCTTTGTCTTCTGTAACTTGACCTGTATTTGATGGTGAAAGTGGCTTCCAGTAGATCCACTAATCACGAGAACTCACTAAAAACTTAATTGTGACCTTGATCTTTACTGTTAAACATTGATGCCGTTTTAATGGTGACAATTTTGAGTTGCGTAAGCCATTATATTATGTAGGTCACCTGGTGCCACACAACTGCTAATAAATGAAAACTTTAGCAATGGTTTGACACCAAAGGGTCCACATTCAAATCGATACCAGTATATCACTGTAGAGGTGTGGGTACACAAGTACAAAATGAATACGATATTATAATTAGTAATGATTCAATGCGAGTATTCTGTAAACCAAACTGGGACAAGTATCCGAGCTTGACCACCCAAGCAATGTAGTGAGACCAACTTTAGCTTATCGCAACCTATTGTAATCTAAGGATTGCCACATGTGCATGTTAGTTGGGATATTTGTGCAAACATTCATGAATTACTTTTTCAACCAGGTCTTTCAATACACTTTCCTTCAGGGGGTCACGGGTGGCCCAGTCGTTTAAGACGTTGCAATTCATCATTTAGAGTTGCGTCCCTTAACCGTGCCAGTATCCAATGGTCGCGGGTTCGAATTCAAGATTCTTAGTTTGACAGCACGATTGGCGTACTTATGGGTTTCACCAACATGGTAGGCATTTACGACCGGCATCGCTTCGGTGCTTTCCTCGAATAATACACTGAACGTCGTGACATCACTAAAATTGTACCCACTCACTCACTCACAATGTGGTACCCTATCTTTGTGTACTTATATATGTTACAGGAAACAAGTATAATCAGTGATTAAGTCTAATAACTGGAAATTTCAGTGATTATGTCTAATAACTGAATCACTCGGTGGTTATGTCTAATTACTGAAATCTTCAGTAATTAGACATAATCACTGAAATGAACCAAGGGATTTTATATTTGTTTACTGAAAGCATATCCCTGCCTTTTTATGATAACTTGTGAGAAGGCTTCCTTAATCCTGTCCTAAGCCAATCTTCTGTAAACAAACAGAATCATGTGTTGTAACAACATTTGAGAAGGCTTCGCTAGTTGTCCATAGAAATCAAAACATATGTTACAGGAAACAAGTATAATCAGTGATTAAGTCTAATAACTGGAAATTTCAGTGATTATGTCTAATAACTGATTCACTCGGTGGTTATGTCTAATTACTGAACCAAACCAAACTGTATAATGCTGACGATTTCAATACCGATTGAACACTCTCTTTGCGTCAAGCGGTTTAACAAGATTTCAGTAATTAGACATAACCACCGAGTGAATCAGTTATTAGACATAATCACTGACATTTTCAGTCATTAGACTTAATCACTGATTATACTTGTTTCCTGTAACATATATACACAACTACTAATGGAGTATTTCAATGATCTACCTGGTGTTTAATCTGGCTTTAACTGCAGACAATGACTCTATGTCGATTGTCTCCACGGATAGGATATAACCACAGGACCACAGTCCTCAAAGTTGCTTTCATAACAGTAAATTCATTTTAAAATGAAGTATTAAATATTTGGGTTATGATTCAAAGCGTAACAGTTTGCAATTACATAAATTATCCGGCAGCGCTGCGTGTAGTGTGATGTCACTCGTGACCTAGGCCTGTGAGTGCATATTTGTAAAAGATTATCTATGTTGAAATATCACCCCACTTAGCCCAGCATTTGACGTGGGTTTGTTTGTGACTAATGATTAAGGCATTATCTCCAGGTCACAACTTTAGTCATGAGGCAAAGTCACTCAGTAAACGTGGACAGAAGGACAACATAATTATGTTCACACGCCTGGAAACTGGAAGTACTTAGTCACGCTATCTAGGAATAGTTGTTTTCTTTAACCAGCGGCAACATTTCAAATATTCAGTAGAGTCTCCAAATTTTCCCAAAAATCCAGTATTTTATAGCCGCTGTTATAGCGAAAGAGAAAGAGTCAACACTGCGATAATATAGCGTGTTGTTACTCTGAGGTGTGGAGTTATATACTGACACAGTAAGAGAAAGGGTCAACACTGACTATAGCTGTTGCAGTTACTCTGAGGTGTGGAGTTATGTACTGACACAGTAAGAGAACGTGTCAACATTGACAATAGCTGTTGCAGTTACTCTGAGGTGTGGAGTTGTATACTGACACAGTAAGAGAAAGGGTTAACACTGACTATAGCTGTTGCAGTTACTCTGAGGTGTGGAGTTGAATACTGACACAATAAGAGAAAGGGTCAACACTGACTATAGCTGTTGCAGTTACTCTGAGGTGTGGAGTTGAATACTGACACAGGAAAGGAAAAGTGTCAACATTGACCATAGCTGTTGCAGTTGCTCTGATGTGTGGAGTTATATACTGACACAGTAAGAGAAAGGGTCAACATTGACTATAGCTGTTGCAGTTACTCTGAGGTGTGGAGTTATGTACTGACACAGTAAGAGAACGTGTCAACATTGACAATAGCTGTTGCAGTTACTCTGAGGTGTGGAGTTGTATACTGACACAGTAAGAGAAAGGGTTAACACTGACTATAGCTGTTGCAGTTACTCTGAGGTGTGGAGTTGAATACTGACACAATAAGAGAAAGGGTCAACACTGACTTTAGCTGTTGCAGTTACTCTGAGGTGTGGAGTTGTATACTGACACAGGAAAGGGAAAGTGTCAACATTGACCATAGCTGTTGCAGTTGCTCTGATGTGTGGAGTTATATACTGACACAGTAAGAGAAAGGGTCAACATTGACTATAGCTGTTGCAGTTGCTCTGAGGAGTGGAGTTATTTCTGACTATTTGCATCATATAAGTTCATGTTGAAATGTTATGTGTCCTGTTACCAGCTGAAAATACGTTCCTCGGATCATTTGTTACAATCAAATGTCACATTTTGACCGAGCTACGTCCGATGGATTGTCAGCGACAAAGCATGGCTATATTTGATAATTCCAGTGGTCTGCTGTTATTTCACTTCACTTCCGCCAACACATACTGCCTGTAAAACGCTTAATACAAACAAGATCAATTAGTACCGACTAGGTTATGATCTGATCTAAATGAAAATTGCAAGAGGTGTGACATCTTTAATAAACCAGGCAGAGAAGCTCTATGTATGAAATACGATTCATGCAATATAGCTTTATCATGTGTCTAGTCATGAACATCATGCGGGAAATTACATAATAAATAGCACATTTGTCTTTTTCTTGAAAAACAACATGTTTATCTCTTCAAGTGAACGAAGTAACTTGTTTTCAGAGACGTGACATCTTCTTAGTGACCTATTGTTTTAGCGTTCGCTCGTCACGTCGCCCTGGTTTGATTACCCAACATGAGTTAGAATTCCTTGCGTGAAGCCTTTTTCTTTTTTCCTCCGCCATGGTATTGATGGAATATTGATAAAGCGGCGTAAAACCATACTCACTCACGCACTCACATCACCATTTGTTCGTGATGAAGGTCATAGACATATATAAACCTCTTTAGTGAAAACCATGAGCACAACTACGGTGCCACCACACTAAGGATGATCTTTGAGACCAAGTTGGGATTCGAAATCATAAAACAAGAGTATCGCAGGTGTATGTTTCTCAATAATGAACATGAATTCATGAGTTGAATATTGAAACTAAAATCACAAGAAAGGACAGATGTCACCATGCTGTTCCTATCTTATCTTGGTGAGGTCAGGAGTCTACATACTGATTTTCACATTAGCTTCAGACTGTCTTACAAGGTAAGCATATATTAAAGTGTAATTGTAGGAGTAATATCGAAGCCATATTTTACTTTACCAGTGTAAAGTACTGCGATAGTCCAAAATAACACAACGATATTGAAAATAACACAACGATATTGTTGCAAAATGGGAACAATTTGCAAGTATTTGTGATAATTTCTTTTTGTGGTGAAATGGTGTTTAATGCCTCGTTCAAGTTTATTGCACTTCTACAGCAACGTGTGTCGGTTTGTTTTCTTTTGTTGTGTCTGTCTTGTGAGTGTGTGTGTGTGTGTGTGTGTGTGGGTGTGTGGGTGGGTGTGGGTGTGGGTGTGTGTGTGTGTGTGTGTGTGTGTGTGTGTGTGTGTGTGTGTGTGTGTGTGTGTGTGTGTGTGTGTGTGTGTGTGTGTGTGTGTGTGTGTGTGTGTGCTAGACCAGACATATGCCGATTTAAAAGTACCACCCCACGAAGATATCATGCCACAGTTTAAGATTAAGTACCTCATCTAGACACAGTATACTGATTCCGAGCCGACCAGTCCTTGTGTTAGCCCCTTAATGTCGAGTGCCAGGCAGGGAGCCATAAAGTACCGACTTTTAACATGCTTTGGTTTGACGCGGCCGAGGATCGAACCACCGACCCTCCGCTTTCCGGGCAGACGCGGTGATGAAAAAGCCTAATCCGTCCGCCCAGTCCCACATCCAACAGTTAGCATCTTGAGGTGATGAGGGAGGTTCCTCTGAGTATTGCCTGATTTTTACATGCATGTATGAATGTATGTGTGTATATGTATATGGGTCACCAGTGTGCGTGTGTGTGTGTGTGTGTGTGTGTGTGTGTGTTTGTGTGTGCGTGCGTGAATACTTATGTGCATGTATATTGGTGCGGGATCGCACGCTTTTGTTTTGTATTGATTACTATTCTAGTCTATTGTATTGTTGTGTGCATGTTCATACCAAACTGTTTTAATTGATGTCAAAAGTCTCCGGGTGGTTTCTGTACATTTTACCTACTAAATGTAGTTTTAATCTGTTTCAGTACCAAGACGATTCTGTTCACCACGATATGTTTGTACAGTCTTGAATAAACGAGCTCCATATCTCTCCGTGTTAAATATTGCCGATAGTTTAACTTGTCATGACTTTAAATATTTTGATCAGTTGTTAAATTCTGAGTAAGATGTGTTTAACGCCGTTTTAGTATTCCTGTTTATCACGGCATGCCAGAGTAATGCTGGTCTCAGACGTTTACCACTTTTGTAAAACCAGCGAGCACGGATAGAGTGCTGACAGACCTAGAAAGATATTCGTGGCGAACAGAGATTCGAACCCACGATCATAGGTTTCTGGCGTCCCTAGAGACGCAAGTATGCATAGCGAATTGCGGTGCCTGAGACGATAGGCCACTCGTGTCCCATAAACTCCGAGCAGGTATGCCAGATGTCATCAACTAAATGTTGTTTTCATCGTTGTTTTACAGTTTGTCAATCGGCCATGATGTTTTCGTCCATGTTTGTCTTCCTCGCCCTCTGCTGGTACGTGTTGTTGAATTATACCATGAGAGAGTGAGTGGTGTTAAACGCCTGTTTTATATCAAGGTGTGACAGCTAAATGAGACCCGCGGAGATTCGGGTTAGTTATTGGTCCCCAGAAACATAGTCGTAAGAGGCGACTAAATGGATCGGGTAGTTTGATTAGGTGACTTGATTCATTGCATGTAATCCTATCCCAAATAGCGTGGAGCAATGATTGTTGCAATCACTGGATTGTCGCGGAGGTATAATCAACAAAAATAAACAACACACACCAAAAAAACGAACAATTGTTTTTAATCACTTGTCAACATTCTGTTCCAGCATCACATATAGTGACCTCCTCGATGAAACAGAAAAACAACTATACGGCCAACTCGACCTCGACAAAGACCATGAGGTCACTCTTCCTGAAATGGACAGCTACTTCGAGAAATTTGACACGGACGGCAAGCATACACCTTTTCACATTTGGAGTCCAAACTATTTATTGTATCTTTTTTTTAACCTTAATTGACAACAGAGAAACCACGATAAACACAATCCCTTACACACCCACATGGTTAAGGGTTACTGGGATAGTAAGACTTTATTTCTGTAGTTAATGAGACAATACTGAGGTGGATAGGGTTGTCATCGGAAAAGAAGGGCACGGGGGAGGAGATAGGACAACAGTATCTAATCTAAGTTCAGAATTGACCATTTTTCGTTAATAATAAAACAAAGGTGAAATCTTTGAAAGGCATTTTGACATTTAGCAGTGATACACATAAGGAAGAGAATTTATGGATGTCAACTTCTTTATTATGAGGAACACAACGTTTCGGAGTTTATACTGACTCCTTCATCTGGTGAATCAGCATTCACCCGATGAAGGAGTGAGCATATACTCCGAAACGTTGTGTTCCTCATATCAGAGAAGCTGATTTTCCATACATTTACTTCCTTAATACAAAGGTGTTTTTTGGTCTCCAAGTATGAAAGATACTTTATCGAGATGCAGGGCAGGATCTTATTAGTCCCTCCTTCATAACCAGTAAAGTATTTTACTGAGGTTTCTATGGTTTCAGATTCTTTATTGCGAAACGAGCATAATCCGTCTTCACTTTTTCCAATATTTAGCAAAAACGTTTTAGTTGTTATAATTCTATGGATAAGTTTGTACTGAATGTTTCTTCTTTTATTATCCGCAGTGGATTTTCTAATCATATCAAAGCATTTTGACAGATAGTCTTCAGGTAATGTTACAGTTGGCTTCGACTCCAACTTTGCACAAAGGATATCGAGCGAGATGGCTTGTACATGACTTAATAATTTAAAATGAATTTACAATCGTTAGTAAACAGCATATCTAAGAATAATTGACAATGTTCACCGTCATTATTTCTTCCTACAAACTCACCCTTTGTACGTTTTATCCAACACTGTGGGATATCGTTTATGAGATTAAATGTAGAAGATAATTTTATGTTACTTTCAATTTAAAGTCTATTTTTAGATTTGAAAATGTTTTCAAGTGCACAGTATTTGTAAAAATGTCTTTTGAAATCGTTGTCGATATCTCTGAGTTGTATAAAATCTAATATAGGAATGGACGAAAGTTCTTTAATACTTTGTATTTCAGTTAATTTAAGACTGTTATTATTTGAAAGCACATCTTTCCAAAAAAACGTTTCTTACTTCCTTTACGATTGTTTGGAAGTAAAATTGACAATGTTGATATTTGAAGATCGTGTAATGTGCTAAATGATGCCATAAACCATTTTGCTATATAATTTCTTAATCAATTGTATAATATTATATATTTACAGAAGGATTCAATGTCAATCATTTGTAATCCGCCACTCTAATAATCATTAATTATCATTTTCCGTTTTCCATTCCAAATATATCGAAATAGTAGGGGGTTAAGCTCCTTGAAAAATGGATTGAAAAAAGATGGGTAAAAAGGGGCATAATTTGGGATAATATTTATTGTTTATCGTTAAACCCGTATATGTAGATATCAGCCAAGTACGAGTTTTTAGTTTAATGATCAGGAAGTGACGTTTTGGCAGATACACATTGTATCAAGGATCATTTTCAATGTGGGTGATGATGCGATGACACTGTGTCGGGAGGCGTGTGAATATTTTGATTGTGTGATCATGTAGCAGGGGTCGTGTATTTGCAGGTGATGGCATTATCACACTGAAGTATCTCATCACGCAGCTGGCTTTAGATTGGGCGACAGCCAAGAAGCAGATCTCGGTTTTTGACAAGAACAAGGACGGCGTCATTACTAAAGTAGATGTTAAGCTCATCTTCGATCTGCTCGACACAAACAGTGAGTTCACTTCAACATCATTCCCTTAATACAGCAGATGACAAGTTCATCATCAGTTTGACACAAGTAGTCCACCCATCAACATTCCATTACAAAAGCAGATGACGCAAAAAAGCGACAAAACACTTTCCATATTCATAAGAAATATTTGCCAAAAGCAGACTCGACTGCACGATTCCGACTGTATCATGAGCATGTATTTATGAACCACTATAAAAATAGTGATTACACCAGGTGTTCGCGAAAAGGTGGGCGTCGCAAACACATGCAAAGTAAAGTCACTTGTTCATCTGTCAAACATCACGGGAACATATGGTACAAGTCAACAAAGGGAATCTTCTTTGTCACTGACTCGTCAAATTTTGAAAATGTCCTCCAAATGACTACCCTAAAACGTTTCAAAAGATTTGGTGAGGCCTTGAATGTTGTGACCTTGATCAAACAACTTCTGGGCAAGAGTCGTGTGACGCACTTTCAAAAGTGAAATATTGAGACTAAGAGCTGGAGCTCCAGGAATATTGCTCGACCTGAAGGAAAAGTTGACTATAAGAAAGGTTAAAGTCATCCCTCGTCCACGGTCTAATGGAGAATGTTTTGTCATTCTGAATCTTTATGCATAGATCGAAATATGAAACAGATGAGGCGGTCTCACTGGTCTCCTCTATTTCTAGTTTAGTTGGGTAAATCAGTGAATGGGAATTGTCTATTTGATGGTTATTGAAGGATATTTGACCATCCATATAATTTGAAGGTTAAGTTAAACTTCTTGCCCAAATGACCTTGTTTTGACTCTGGCAATACGAATAGAAAATCCGATTTTTATTCATAAAGAAACGGATCAGCGGGGAGGGGGGCACAATTGTGCCCTTAGGGATGCCCACCCCTTGCCCAAATCCTTCCAGCATCCCTCCTTTAATACAGCAGTTTTAATACAAACTCATCTATAACTAGCTTGACACAAACAGCGATATTTGCATATTTTGGACCTGACGCAACACTAAATGCAGAGGTGACATACATTTTCCTTGACATGAGCCAGAGATGTAGGTGAAGACTGTGGTTTGATGGAGTAAAATAATCAGCTTGAGTCACAGATTTGTCCATAGCTAGACTCTAGGTTGAAGATCGCAATCGACACTATTTACTGATACTAGCTATACTCCTTTATGCCACATCAAATCATGCATTTCAGAAAATGGAAAAGTAACGTTGCAGGAATTTCAAGATAAATATGTTGAGGTAAGTAAAAGTAAACTGAAACAAACACAAACCTACCTTTCTTACAATATTTAAACGACATATAAATATTTGAATCACTGGATAATGAAACCAGTTGGTTACGTTAAACGCATAATTGTATATAGATATTATCTCAGCATTTGTTTGATAAAAAAATATGTTTCAGTTTGGAAACAAATCATGATCACTTGATTAATACAAAACAATTTGATCAGATTCAGCAAATAATTCTACGTCGATTTTTTAATTTAATAGTATAATAATAACGATTTTGACGTTTCAGGTTCTTACCGCAGGCGTAAATATTATCGGAAAATAAGATGGACATAATTTTGTGATATATTTGATAACACTCATGAAATAAACATATATGTTACATATAGTAAATATGCTTAAATCAAGGGACCAGATGTTCAGGGAACTGAACACTATGACTCGATGGAACAAGATGTGTATATATTAATGAGTGAATGCGTCTTAAACCATAGTCATTGTCGTATATTGCACGTATTGTACGACGACATGATAGGACAACAGGAACATCAGCCTAAACATCCCATATTATGACCACATTGAACGTAGGCATAAGCATCACATACCATGACCACAAAACAGTGAGCGTAAACATCGCATACTCGGACACATGACAAGCATTTCCTCTTCGACCATATGATCGTCGGCACAAGCATCTCACACAACGGACACAGAGCCCCTTAGCTTAAGCATCAACGAATATGACCCCAATACAGTTAGCACAAGCATCGCATACTTCGATCAAAGTACCGTTATCATGAGCATCGCATACCACGACCACATCGTCACTGAGCAGCAACATAGCAGTGAATAAGACCACTCACCTAAATCGTCAGTCTGTGTTCACCTCATCGTTAAAGGAGACATCTGAATATGGGCATGGTCTTCAATGCCAAAATATGTTCTGCCAACGGATTTGAACTCGGAAGTGCTTCATCATATGTTTCTTGACATTTTATTGGTATCGCGCGCAACAGAAATGAAATCTCATTTACAATCGTTTAGTATGAAATCTGCGTTGATGAAAATACTTTCTACATAGATGGAAATACCTTCAACGTAAATGAAAATACCATCTACGTTGATAAAATTACCATCTACGTAGATGAAAATACCATCTACGTAGATGAAAATACCTTGTACGTTGATCAAAATACGATCTACGTTGATCAAAATACCATCTACGTTGATCAAAATACCATGTACGTTGATGAAAATATCATCTACCTTGATCAAAATACCTTCCACGTAGATAAAAATACCTTCCACGTAAATAAAACAAACTTTTTAAATAGTAAACACAAAAAAATGTAATGAATCCTCTGTAGATAAACTTCAGTTCAAATGTAAAAATTCACGCAATTATTAAGGGATTCCCATTCATCTAACAGCAAGTTAAGAACACACAATTTGGTCAAGTCATCTATAAATATTGAGAATTATCTTACATATTGTAAAAACAAAGGTCATAGGTCACTTTTCTCAAAACTTCGTTTTAGTAATCACAAACTAAAAATTGAAAAATTGATAGATATACAAAAACACCAACCCCATTAGAACAACTTATCTGTGAAACATGTGATGTCTCAGAAGATGAGCAACATTACGTACTGTCTTGTATAAAATACAACCAAGAAAGTGAATCACAAATAATCCTCAATCATGATAAAGAATTTGGTACACTCTGTTAAAAGGAACAGTTTTTAATAACAGTTATCCAGAAACAACTTCCAAGATCTGCTATCATTTCAACAATTACAAACAAATTACCATAGTTTTGCTCAATTCTTATATTGTTTCCATATCATTATAATACACTTGTTTGGAAATAAAATTATAATGTACCTCCTTTGTATGTTGAATGTACCTGTGTTTCTTAATTGTCGTCTATTGTGCATGTATTTTGTAGTTTGTGATAGTGTAATATTGCCACTGTTTCGTCATGGAATGTTTCGCAATACATATCTCATCTAAAACATCTTTTTTGTGTGATAGTTTCTTATAGTTGTGTACGGGGGCACAGTTGGCACAGTCGCCTAAGGGGCTGCAATTCGCTATGCAGAGTTGTGTCCCTTGGGCACGCCAGAAACCTATGACAGTGTGATTTAATCCCGGTTCGCTCCAATTTTGTTGTCAACACAAAACCCGTGCTCGTTGGTTTCACCAAAGGGGTGAACGTCTAAGACCTGCATCACCTCGGGCTTTCCTCCCACATCAAGCTGACACGGAATACTATTCAAAACGGCGTTAACCCAACTCACTCACTCACTCTTGTGTACGGCACCGTTTGGTTAACCGGGTTTGTGTTGTGATTGCTTCCAGTTTAGATTTGAAGTATGTTTAGAAGAATGTTACTATTTTTAACCTAAACATCGTGAAGATATCATGCAACCGGATTATCTTTTAGGCAAATAATTGCAAACTACAGACCAACTTGATTTCCTATGTATCCAGAAGCAAAGAACATATACGGGTGTATAATCTATTCCGGAAGTTAAAAAAACTATCAAACCGTAAACTGCCGCATGAAACGGTATGAATCATACATTACATACAGTGAACTACTTGTAACAGTGATACTGGAATATTGCTAAAAGCGGCGTAAAACCATACTCACTCACTGTAACAGTACTGTGCTCAACTATGCCCAGCAAGGGTCATACATGTGATTATGAAGACAACTAATTACAAATTTATCATATCAAACACGTTGTTTTACATGTGTTGTTTATTGAACAAAGTCATACTTTTTAGAAGCCTGGTATTTAATTGTGTTGAACAATATGTTGCAACAGCAATGTGAGGTTGAAAGATTGAGTGCGCGTGACAGGCTTGACCTAAATTCCTCCCTGAAACCTTTCTCGATGGCTGCCTTAATAACATGCGATACATTGCAAAGGTAGTGCGCAATAGAGCTGTTCGGGTAAGTGCGATAATCATTCGTTCGCAGTGATACAGCTTGAATAAGATACGATGTACAGCATTGCAAGGTCAGTGCGTGATGAAGCTCAATACTACGCATATAGCTAAAGGAGATAATCGTTTCATGCGCAATAGTTTATTCTTACAAAATATAGACCGGATAACTTTAGCGAAATGAGATATATATTTCCCCTAAACATTTTTAGCTCTTTTAAAAACAAATTGAACAAATGTCATGGGTTATCTGCATTACGAAACGTGACTAAGTCTCAGAATAGCAAGACGATTTTGAAGCATCTCCTAATGCGGGAAAAGACTGGCATCAACATTCCACGCACATGATCATGACTTGTATGTTTCGTTTCGGTAAATGCATGGCTTGAAATTTCAAATAAACCAACATGTCGACATACATGCTAGAAAACTAACCGTTCCCGTATACTTACTTCCCCGCCTTCAGGGCGGGGAAGAATGATCCGAGAAGCCTAGAATATATCTTCAGCTACTGATAATAGAACGCACCATCTTTCAAACTGTTGTATTGCTAGAATATAAACGAATAGTTTCTTCAGCTGTCTCGTGGACCAATTCAGCCGGCGGGTGGCCAAGTATATAACTCTACACCACAGTAGAACTTCAGCAGCTATAGTCAATGTTCACTCTTTCTCTCTATACGTATATAAGTATATACGTCTATACTACAGGGTAACTGCAACCGCTAAATACAAACAATGCCAGTCGGTACTGATTGATCTGGTTTGTATTAAACAAAGCGTTTTACAAAAAAGTGTTGGCGGAAGTGAAGTGAAATAACAGCAGACCATTGGAATTATCAAATATAACCATGCTTTGTCGCTGACAATCAATTGGACGTAGTTGGGTCAAAATGTGACATGCGTTTGTATCAAACGATCCGAGGAACGTATAACCTATTTTCAGCTACTGATAACAAGACACATAAACTTTCAACATGAACTTATATAATATGCAGAAATATGACTGTCATTACAAAGTAAATGTAATACCTATAAACACTACCTCAGTGTTGAGTCTTTCTCTAATTATGTAAGTATCTATATATCTTCACATCACAAAGTAATTGCAACAGCTATAGTCAGTGGTGACTCTTTCTTTCACTATACTTTGTCTATGACACTCTATGTCTTACCGTAAGTATGTAAATCTATACCTCAAAGCAACTGCAGCAGGTATATTCCCACAGTGCTGACTGCTGATCTATAATCCTTCAGTGTTGATTTTTTCTCTTACTGTGAAAGTATATAAACCGTACACCACAGACTACTGCAACAGCTATAGTCAGTGTTGACTCTTGCCCCAACTGTGTACGTACACACCACACCAACTGCAAAAGCAATATTCCCACAGTGTGCTCCTGCGGTAAAAGTATGCAATGCTTCAGATAACGGTTCTGTGGTCACAGCATATGAAGCTGTGTGCAAAGCCTATGGTTTATGGTCCTGTGGTTGAAGTATGCAATGCTTCAGATAACGGTTCTGTGGTCACAGCATATGAAACTGTGTGCAAAGCTTATGGTTTATGGTCCTGTGGTTGAAGTATGCAATGCTTCAGATAACGGTTCTGTGGTCACAGTATATGAAGCTGTGTGCAAAGCTTATGGTTTATGGTCCTGTGGTTGAAGTATGCAATGCTTCAGATAACGGTTCTGTGGTCACAGCATATGAAGCTGTGTGCAAAGCTTATGGTTTATGGTCCTGTGGTTGTAGTATACAATGCTTCAGATAACGGTTCTGTGGTCACAGTATATGGAGCTGTGTGCAAAGCTTATGGTTTTGATCCTGTGGTTGTAGTATGCAGTGTTCAGTGTATCAAGTAGTGGTATGATAAATGCTTCTACGATTATGTCTATACGTGTTAAGACGACATTCACTCACTAATATATTGACATAGGGTGCTCCTAGTGTTGACTTCCATGACACTGAGGGGGGCACGGGTGGCCAAGTCGTCTAAGGCGCCGCGATTCGCTGTGCAGAGTTGCGTCCCTTGGGCACGCCAGAAACCTATGATTGTAGGTTCGAATCCCGGTTCGCCCCAATTATGTTTCTAGGTTTGTCAGCACCATACCCGTGCTCGTGGGTTTCACCGAAGTGGTAAACGTCTGAGACCTGCATCACTTCGGGCTTTCCTCCCACATTAAGCTGACACGCCGTGATATAACTGGAATAATGTTTAAAGCGGCGTTAAACCCAACTCACTCACTCACTCATTCCATGACACTGAGGTCAAATTCTCTAAGCATGCGTTCTTCATGCAAGCAATATGTCTTTATTTCACGAGTGTTCTTAAATCTATCACATAAGCATACATATCCGTCCTATTTTCCAGTAATGTTTTTCACTGTAAGATACAACTTACATAGAATAATGGGTTGAACTCATTAGCTACAGTACCCAAATGGTTTGGTCCAGT